TGTTCTCAGCGTGCAGAGCTCTTTCGGAGAGTTATGCCTGCAGCGTTTGAGAATCTTGCGATTGCTCAACATAGAGATACTTTGCGATATGCAACCATTCGGGGAGTAGGTTATCGACCATCGATTCGTAGATTCCATGTAGGAGAGTACGTCTATCTACAGCAGACTGCACCGACGACATTGGATGTGACGGCGGGACGCACAATCTTGCGAGTGCGAGAGGTGTTACCTTCTGGAGTTCTCTTGTTGGAGGGTCGTGACGGCGTTGTTTTGAAGGATCATGTGCGCAATTGTGCGCCATGCCACCTCCCAAACATAGATGGTACCATGGACCCAAGCTTAGCAATAGTACGTGCTGGCTTGAGGTGCATGCTATGTGGGTCCGCTGGTCAGGCGGCCCGTATGTTGGTGTGTGATAGGTGTTCTAGGGGATGGCACATGTTGTGCATGACTCCACCTATCAATGTTATTCCGGCTGGACGATGGGTTTGTCCTCGATGTACTTCAAAGGGGTAGATGACTTGATCTTCACATGTTATGAATTGCAGATAGGCGACTAACGATGGGGCGACATAGCACCCGGCCTAATAGTTCGCGCACCCACGAAGGTGTATAGCATGTAGTTGTAGATAGGGCTACCTGGGAGTCAGAGGGATCTGACCGCCAGCTAGGGGGGCGAGTTGTGACATTTGAGTGTGTACTCTTTCGCGCCTTATATGTGTGTATGTGAGTAACATGTCAACGATGTAGAGTGTATGGCGATATGTATTCGCACAACAGCTGTCATGTAGTTTCGAGTAGGCTCACGCAGTCTAGGCACTTTCTATATTTAGACGTAGAAATAGGGTTCGGGTTACGAGGGGTATACAGTCGGGAAAGAACGTTAGTTCTTCGAGTCGAGCCTGGAAGCCTTGGGAGCGTAGAGCAACTTTCCCCTTTGCGTCGACCTGGATTCTCCGAGTGTGGAGTGGATTGGGCTTGACTCATGTTTGTGACGGTGACGGTTTGTTGCCAGTAGGGTAATAGACCGACGGGATTTCCAGTGGAGAATCTCCCGTACTTTTCAGTTGTGACATTTGAGTGTGTACTCTCTCGCGCCTTATATGTGTGTATGTGTGCGTATGTGTATGTGAGTAGTATGTCAGCGATGTAGAGTGTATGGCGATATGTATTCGCACGACACATCGGTACTTGAAATCTAAGAGCTGATCTGCGCACTTAATTCTAGTATTCATTGATGAGCTTGTTGTTTGTTAAGAAACTTCACGTAGACATTTGCAATCATGTTTGGATAATTCTAGTAATTTGCAAGAAAGAAGTTTTTGGTTTTGTGAGGAGTTGAATTTTGATAGAACTCTTTTTTGTTGCAAACATCTTCTTGTAGTTTGCAATTCAAATAGAATTTGAGCACACCACATCAAAATTCAGTTCAACTTTAGTTGTGGGATATCACGGTCATACTAGTTGGAATCGTTTGTGAAAAACCACGGTAATTTGCACAACAAAAGTTCTTCGTTTAACAAGGAGTTGAACTATGACAAAACTCAGTCTAGAAGCGAACATCTTACTATAGTTTGCAAACTCAAAAAGAATTTGAGCACATCAAATTAAATTTCAGTCATAAAACCCAGTCTAGAAGCGAACATTTTACTATAGTTTGCAAACTCAAAAAGAATTTGAGCACATCAAATTAAATTCCAGTCCAAAACTCAGTCTAGAGGCGAACATCTTACTATAGTTTGCAAACTCAAATAGAATTTGAGCACATCAAATTAAATTCCAGTCCAACGTTAGTGCTGGGATCTCAAGGTCATACTTGCACTTGGTCACAAATATAGGAAATAGATTTAACCAAGTTGGAACTTCCAAGCGAACATTTTTCCACACTATAGACCGAAGCAAATATTTACAAGAATTGTTTTTAAAACTGCGTGACAGTGTCTCCTAGTTCTAAAAACTGCCGACGGTAACGATGTCTCGTCGGCAGGGTCCCATCGAGCAAATCAAAACATGATGGAACCCATCAAGCAATTTGTGTTATAATGAGTTTCCATCAAGTAATTTTTTTTCCATTATTCCAATAACAAAAGCAAAATATGAGTAATTTGTTTATGTAAAATGTACTCCGAAACTCCATACATACACTATTGTGAACTCAATCAATAAGCAGGGTTGAATTCTTTGCAACATTTTTCATTATAGACAAATATGTTTACGGTAATAATTTTTGAAACATGAAGAAAAAATTCTTTTTTTTCATTTTTTGAAATTTACATACCTTATGAGATTAATATATATATATATATATATATATTGGCAAAAGGATTCATCACTTATTGACATTTTGTCACATCAGTGCAAATGATCACAACCGATTTTGTTTCATATCAATTATTAATATGATAAAGATAAGATTGAAATTGATTGATGAAGATCAGATTGATATGTAATACAGTATCAAACAAATACTTTATATGTATATATATGAAATTTTACAAGCTAACAATGTCTTCTCATGATGAAATAATTAATAAAATATATAAATAAAACGGGTAGGGACAATATCTAGGTATGATTAAATAATGTAGACTTTTTTTTAGCTTGATATTAGAGTCACATTTGGATTAAATTCAAATAAAAACTCAATATGTGTCATATTTCATATATTATGTCATTTGAAGAAATAATTGTACATTCTTGATGATTGCAAACAAAACAAATTCAATTTAATTTTTTGATTTTAGCTTAGTAGATTATAATATTTAAAATTAAATTTATGTGAAATCATTTTATCAAAATATTATACAAAATATCATCTTCAATAATGGTGTAATTTGGTTATTTATCATCATTATTTCAAGATTCAATTTCAATACATAAGAGTACATTTTATGAATAATAAACAAAATAATATTAAATTGGAATTTGGAATTTATTTCTATAATCAGAATTAAATAATTATATAGAAAATCCTTTATACATCAAAAGAAAATATGTATTCATATATATAGAATTAAAGATATATATTTGCAAAAAAATATAATTTTATGATTTATATTGTAAAAAATGTAGACAAATTTTGACATCATAAAATAAATGTGTTTTTCATATCACAAAAATTTCAATTTTTGACTCTTTTCTTTGTAATTTCTTTTATTCATGTCATGAAATGTTTTGTAACTCATTATAATCGTAAAGATCTATGTAGCTAAATATTTTCTATCTAACATTAAAATTTTAGATTTCTTTAAAATACAATACAAATAAAAATTGAAATTAGCTTATTTTAAAAGTTGGTTTTTAGAAAACTAATAAAGTACAGATCCTAGAGAGGCATAAGCTTTTTGAAGAAAGATATAATTAAAATGTTAATCCAATTATTGATGTTCAAGTATATAAAAATCTGTAGACTTTAAATTTAATTCTATTATTTGAAAAAAAAATTTGAGTATCTTGCATAATTTATATTAATGAATCATGTAAAATATATCTATTTTATATTATTCTATATGTAAAATTGATGTGTACTTATACAATAAATAAATTAATAAATATTAAAATTATAGGATTATTTTAATTTTTTTATTAAATAATTTTAATAAAATATTTACAAGTTTAATTAAATCTTAAAAAACCATTTCTATAAATTTTTAATACAAATTTTTTATGATAAAATGATAATAAAAATTATATTGAAGAAATTATTATATCTTAAATCTTGTCTTTATTTTTAATAAAATCATTTAAATGAGATAATCATTTTTCAAGATGGTATTGACGTTAGAGTGATAAAAAAAAATTCCATGAAATACATAAAGAATCTCACAAATACATTCACACGATGCTGACATACCTAGTTTGCTCATGCTGGGCTAAGTCTACATGAACCAGAAAGCTTTAACAGACATAATCATGTCCAATTAAAGCTATGGCGCGCCACCCTAAGTAATGATAGTGTAGATAAATATTAAATATAAAATTTTAAATCATTTTTAAATATAAAGAAATCTAATTTATTCTTGCACTTAGGAGTTATTATTATGGATTAGGATTTGAATATTAGCAATTTCAACACGTATTATGATCATTAAATCATAAATCTTCAAAGTTGACTTTGTATCAGTAAATTTTTTTTAATCAAAAAGTTCAAGCTTAAGTTTTTATCTTTCATAAATATTTTATTCAGTTTTTATTTACAGTAAATATCTGATTGTATTGAATGAATTTGAAATCCAAAGTTCTTAAACAATAGCTTGAACTTTGTGTATACACACAAACATACGAATTGAGTAACTAAATTGCATTGATTATTGTCTTTTCTATTTATATATTATTTATATTTAAAAAAAATTTGAGTAATACTTCTAGAATTAAGATTGAAATGATAAAAAATTTTAGAATAAATGAAAAGCGAAATTCACCATCTGTAAATTTTTTGCATATCATCTTATGATACTATGAACAAATTAAAAGTTTATCTCAAGTGATGGGGAACATAAGCATATAAAAATTTTTAAATAGCAAAACAACTTTCAAATTTTTTTTAACTTATTTGTGGATTTTGAATAAGACTGCACAATTAAAACATGATACATCTTGAATTCTTTGATCCTTGGAATTGAACACTCTGATGACGATTACAAAGTAAAGTAATAGAGGAAAAATAATCTCATAGAGTACGAGAAAATCTACTATAGTACTAAACAACTTGATGTTTTTATTACAACAAAAGTATCCAAAAGTAAAGCTATGTGACGATTACATCTTTTAGGCTACAAGTGAGTTATACTTAATTATGGGTGACAATTTCAATAGGTCTAAAAAGCAATGGTTGATAACTATCACACTATAAATGGTAAAAATGATAAATTAAAATTATAGTTCTTAATTATTTGTGTTTATTGTCAAGTTTTAGATTCGATAGACAAGAGAGAAATCAAGTAGAAAACATAATACCAGTTCAATGTTGCAGAGACATTGGAGCATAATTGTGTCATCATGATGCCATCAGCCTTGGGGTTAGATTTATTTTTCATGGGATACTGACAAATTATTTTTAATTCACTTGGCCTTTTCTAATGTACCGATTGAGAACAAGGTGGAACCTTCCTGATGCGCCGGAATATTCCCGTGGAGCGAGAGAAGGCGCCATTGGAGTCCACGCAATATTTCTCTGCGCCGGGACTGGACGAGGGGCGGGGCTAAAATCCGCCGTGAAAAGCCGAGGCCGGGGAAAAGAGGAGTCGCGGGGGGAAATCCCGACTCGAGGCGCACAGCGAGCCGGCGCAAAAGGCGAGGCGAGCGCAGGCGACTCACCACAGAACAAGTGTCCAAAAGGGGCTCGCGGCTGGAGTGGGCCTGCGCCGGGGCAAAGCACAGCAGCAGATCTATCGGAAGGCGGAGCCCGGCCAATGGGCTGCCGCAGCTCTAGATAACACAGTAAATCCCGGCCGAGCCGATGACGCGTGTGAAAACGGGCCAAGCGCAGTAAAATCGAACTGGTGGTCAGGCCACCACCGACTCGCTCTGCTGCTCGTCGTCGTCAGACGCACCACTCGAACATTCATTTCACAAGCACTCCGCTCGTCCCGATTAGGCCCAAGCCCAAGACCAGGCAGAGGCCCAAGCTCAAGCCCACCCACCCACCCACCCCTCGCGGCTTCGAGCACAGGCCCAAGCCCAAAGGAAAAGGATTCCTTCGAGCCCCGACGACGACGCAGCGCTGCCCCCGCCCCGACATTGCCGATTAGTTCGTGGATGCTGTAGGCAGGAATTTCTGTGCAGAGGTTTTGGTTGCAGGGAGAGAGAGAGAGAGGGAGGGAGAGAGAGCAGGGAGCGATGGAGGCGGTGATGCTGCTGGGGACAGCAGGAGTGGGAGTGCTGGGGGGGAGTCGGGCGATGCCGCAGAGAGTGCAGTGCGTGCAAATTGCGCAAGCGAGGTGCTGCAATGTGAGGCTGAGGGTGGTGGCAGCGTCGGCCACAGCGAGGGAGGCGACGGTGGACGTGGCTCTGGAGTCGGAGCTCGGGGTGAGCTACGAGCTGCTGAGGGATAAGCTGGCGGCAGGGGAGTGGGAGGCGGCGGACGCGGAGACGAGGCGCTTGCTGTGCGTCATGGCGGGCGAGGGCGCCGTGAAGCGCAAGTGGGTCTATTTCTCGGAGGTGCAGTTCATTCCGGAAGCGGACCTGAGGACGGTGGATGGGCTATGGAGGGCCTACAGCAACCAGAAATTCGGTTACTCGGTGCAGAGGCGGGTATGGAAGAGCGTGAACGAGAGCTGGACGGCTTTCTTCAAGAAGGTGGGCTGGACTCGGCAGCTGGGCGACTCACGCAACGACGCCTACAAGAAATTCCCGCTCGAGTTCATGTGGGACGTCGAGGACCCCACTCCTCGCGGGCACTTGCCCCTGACCAACGCCCTGCGCGGCACGCAATTGATCGAGAAGCTGCTCCTGCACCCGGCCTTCGCTTTCGCCGACGAGGACGAGAAGCTCATGATGCCCGAGGAGATTGACATGTCGTCCGAGGGCCTGATGCAAAATCTCAAGCCTAAGTCGCGGGTGCAACAAAATTCGCCGCCCTCGGGCGACTCCCCGGCCAAGAAGGTGCTCCTCCCCGAGGACATGTCCATCGACTACGGCTTCTGACCGATCTTTTTGTCCTCGCGCGGTCCCTTGTTATCATCGTAGGAGCTCATTCTTGCCCCCCCTCCTGAATGATCAATCTGTCAATCATTTAAATTAATCATCAGGTGGTTCGTTTTGGAGGTTTTCTTGCTGTTCTGCACCCAACCGCCCGACTCCTCGCGGCCTTGCCATGGCTGCGCGAGCCGCCATGTCATGTCTAGAGTAGAATGGGCCACGCACTCTCGTTTCTTCCGCAGAGGTGCTCAGTGTATGTCGACGGTCGGTCGGTTGTGTGTTCGGCAACCCATAGATTCTGATCCTCTAGTATTAGTACCCATCCTGTAAATCTAGTTCGTTGGGGATCCCTAGCTTTCGCGTCGCTCTGACACAAACACAAGCGCACATTTCTGTGCCGGTTTAGGCTCGTGGTGGGGAGAAGCTTATGGATGGAACTGGCCATGGCCGGCTGGTAGCTGGCTCCTCTCTTTCACAGTCCCTGCACTCCTCTGCCCACCGGAGACCAGAGCACACTGGTGCCTAGACCGAGAAAGTAGTTAAGAATGCCCTCTCGGCCACAGTCAAATGTACTTATGTATTTCCGTTCCGAAAAGAAATCCTGTGGGTATCAACTTTGATCTCAGCTGGCTTATCTCGAAGCCCGTTTTTGCATGTGCGTTCCTGACTTCGATGTCTCTTCTCCGATTCCGAATTGAAGTCTCTGTCAGTCTTGCCTGGATCCTGTCCAATTGTTAATCTGGTTGATATTCTTTGCCGCATTCTTCTTCTCGCCAGCGACTGGAGTGATCCAAAAGCTTTTTGATCTTCGGGATTTACAGAGCTCCACTGGCTGTGACTACTGCCGGGGAGATCTCTTGCTCCTGCATTTGCAATTGCATCTGTTAGTGCAGTTCCTCGGGGTCTTCGATAAACTTCTAGCAAACTTGGCAACCTCCGCGGAGATGGTCTGGCCAGTCGTCACCTGCCGGGGTCTTGAATTGGATTTGGTCTTACTCGATTAGCAAAGGATGCCGAGGATCCTCAATGCTGCAGGTCCTTTCCGAGCAGTCAATTGTTCCGTGTGCCTCACTTCTGTCGCTTCACCCCCTCAGTTTGTTCCGAAGCAGAAATCGATCTTCAGCATCCTGCTGTTGTTGCCAATGCTGCTGAATCAAAATTCTGCTTCTGTTGGGCTTCTGTTGTTCCGACCTCGTGTCGGGAGACGGTAAAAGACTCGAGGTGAGCAACCTTTGGGAGTGTTGGTCCTCTCACCCTTGAAGTCCTGACTCGGAAAGGATGTCTGTTAGTCTGTCAGTCAGGCAGCGTGGCTGTTCAGCTGATCGCCAGCCATCGCTGTGCAGTCTCGGATCGAAATTTCGTGGGAGTTTCAAGCGCTTGTGAAGATGTGGAGGTCATTGTCTACCACAAGTCATGACTTATCTCTAATAACCATCGAAGGCACACATTCAGTGTGCCTGTCCCCTCGACTGCTGACGGCCTTATGAAGTGCATTTCCGCCAGAGGGCACTCACAGTCACACAGTCAGAACATGACTGCAACATGTGCATCCTCCCTCATGCACGCAAGAGGCCCTGATTGCAACTGACATCTCTTTCGTCTCGTTGCCTGCCTGTGCGACGTAGGCGCTTAGCCGTCTACCGAGTTTTCTATCTAGTTTAATGCGTTCAGCAGACAATGCTCCACGCAAAGAGTAAGTGGTAGGCCCATTCTGTGCCCAGTGACTGCACCCGTGATGTCCTTAATTCGTCGCTGTCGTCGCCGTGCCCCGAAGCCGCTGCATTATCTGGAGGATACTGTTGTTTACAGGCGAGGAAGCAGATGAGGATCATCATCCCTTACTCGCTGGGTCCAGGACGAAGCATCCTGCAAACGTATTCATGTCATCAGTCTAGCCACACCCGAAGGGATCAAATATAGCACCCCAAGTAATATCCTCGTGATGAGGAATGTCCTGCAAACGGTGCGAGACGAAAGAATGTCCGTGCTTGATGTTGTCAGGAAGCCTCTGGTGCTAATCTCAGTGCTGAGTTCGAGGCTGAGGCTGAGGCTGAGGCTTCCATTCATTCCAAGCACAAGTTCGTCACACATCGTCTGACCAGGAATTAGAACTAGAAGCAGGCATTCGAAACCAACATCAAGCACGGAGGATGAGTAACTCGTCTTCATCGTCGTTCGGGTTCAGAATTTGATGCGGATGAGAATCTGGCTGACCCTCTTGGAGCTGGTTGTGCTTATTCCGATTCCAGTCATCATCGAAAAGCCTGACCTCGTTGTAGATCCTCATTCCAACATTTTCTGGGAAATCCATCAGAGTAACGACATGAACTGCAAATGCGAGACCTGGATTCAGAAGTCCGGGCCCGGACAAGATTTCAAATTTTCGTTGGACTCTGCTTTATAAAAGGTGAAGGTCCGCGTACAATACGACAAGGTGCCTATTTCGGAAGCTTGCTATTCTGCTGATCGATCGATTTCCATAAAATGTGCTAATTCTGCCCTCGTTCAGTTGAAATCCTGATACACGTCCCGTGAGGTGAATGATGCTTCGGGAGGTACGAGCTTTCTCGTTCCCTCCTCGACTGAATATGGTGGTGGGTCTGGGCCAGCGGCCACCACTTTGGGATCCGTCCTCACCTCGCCTTCTCAGGCACTCGCAAATTTGCTATCTCGCTACATTGTTGCTCCGAACCAAAATTGAACGGGAATTGAATCATCGGGCAGACTTAACCAAAAACGTCAAGCTTCTCTGGATCTCCTCATTCCTACACTCGTCGCCTAAACTCTTTCCGTCACCTCTCGCGGGAAATAGAATAGCCCCTCTGGCAGCCCCCGCCGCTACTTTATGTATGAGCCAGCCTTGCAGCCAATTATTATCGGAGTCGATCGATTGCCGGAAGAAAGAAAGGAAGAGTCAATGATCGTCCGCTCTCGCCCGTGGTAGTCTAGGAACTGGCAGGATTGGTTCAGCACGGGGAGCGATTCCTCGATCAAAGCAATCTGTCCTCCTCCTCCTCCTCCGCTCCGGCGCATAGGGTTGGAATCATCATGACCACGTGAAGTCCGGAGCGCTTCGACTCCGGCGGCGAAATGCGATGGCGAATTTCAGCATGAAAGGGTGAGAATTGGCTGGTGCTGGTGCTAATGCTGGTGCTGCGGGGGGAAGGGAAGGGAAGGGAAGTATGTAATTAAGAAAAAAACTAGGCCTGATCGAATTTATAAAAAGGCTTCGAGGAACAATCAAAAGGCGAGTTACCAGCCATTCCACGAGGCGGGCTTGCGGAAGTCGATGCGGGGCCTAGTGTACACCAGTCATTTCATGACGATGGTGGTCTCGGCGATCATGCCGGTGACGATGTAGGGGTCCATGTTGGAGGCGGGGCGGCGATCCTCGAAGTAGCCCTTGCCGTCCTTCTCGGTGTCGCGGCCGACGCGGATGGAGGAGCCGCGGTTGGCCACGCCCCACGAGAAGGTGTTCATGTTCGCCGTCTCGTGCTTGCCCGTGAGGCGCCGCTCGTTGCCCTCGCCGTAGGCGGCAATGTGCTCCTTGTGGCGCTTGCCCAGCTTCTCGATAGCCTCCTTGATGAGCTTGTAGCCCCCGGGGGCTCGCATGCTCTTGGTGCTAAAGTTGGTGTGGCACCCGGCGCCGTTCCAGTCGCCCTCGATGGGCTTGGGGTCGAGCGATAGCACGACGCCGGCGATCTCCGTGATGCGCTCGAGAATGTAGCGCGCGGCCCAGAGCTGGTCGCCGGCGGCGATGCCCACCGAGGGTCCGACCTGAAACTCCCACTGCCCGGGCATGACCTCGCCGTTGATGCCGCCGATCTGGATTCCGGCGTAGAGGCAGGCTTTGTAGTGCGCGTCGACGATGTCTCGCCCCCAGGCCTTGTCAGCCCCCGTGCCGCAGTAGTAAGGCCCCTGGGGGCCTGGGTAGCCCCCGACGGGCCAGCCCAGCGGCCACTTCACCTCCTTCTGCAACAACGTGTACTCCTGCTCGAGCCCGTACCAGGGCTCCTCCTTTACCACCTCGGGCTTGCTGAAGATTGCCGCAGCCGCCGCGCGCTTGTTGGTCGGGATCGGCACGCCGGCCGGCGTGTAGCAGTCGCAGACGACGAGGATGTTGTTGCCCCGGCGGAACGGGTCCCGGAAGATGGCCTGCGGGTACAGGATGACCTCGCTGTCCTTGCCGGGGGCTTGGCCCGTGCTCGATCCGTCGTAGTTCCACTTGGGCAGCTCCTGGGGGCTAGTGACGGGGCCTGGCAGAGTGCGCGCCTTGCTGCGAATGTCGACCCCCGAGCCCCCGATCCAGATGTACTCGGCGATGATGCTCGAGGTCACATCCTCGATCTTCATGTTCACGAGTTCCTGAAGGTCCGACATGATTGCCGAGACGGGTGATGAGTCGAATTCGAAGAGGGAGGGAGAGTGAGAGAGAGAGTGTGGTGGTGATGGTGGTGGTGCTGCAAAATCAGATTATTTCGAAGCCGAGCGCAACGCTGATCGTCGTCCTCCGTCCTCCGTCCTCGCCTTTCTCTTGCTCTTGCTCTTGCTCGTCGTCCTCTGCGTCTTCTCTCCCTCTTCGCATTCGACCATGATTCTGCGGCCTCGCATCCTGCTATTTGAACCTCTGCCCTCTCCTCGCCCGGGGCCATTCCAGCGCCTGCTCCTGCTGCTGCCGAGCTTGGCGCCTAGGCTTGAGCAGCCACCCGTTAGAGGCGCGGGCCAAAGTAGTTCGCACGTGGGTCCAGCCCCCTGTTCCCTACAGGCACTGTCCCTCCTCTCCTCTCCTCTCCTCTCCGTCCACCGCACCGGTCGTAACCCCAGGACGGGCTTCCAGCCACCCTCCAAGACCGCTACCACTGCTGCCCCCGGGCGACCCTTCAAGCACCTCAAGGCAATTCTGCTATGTCGAACGTCGATACGCTGTTCTGCACGGGCGCTTGCTTCTAGCACCGCCCCAACCCCGTCGCGTGCTGCTTCTGATGGTTTGGTTATTCACGAAGAATTACTTCCCGACCCGGTTGGGCTGGTGCCCCCAAGGTTTAGGGGCTGGGGCTGACTCCGAGACCAAGCACAGGGCGGGCTTGGGGCGTAGGGGCCACGCACAGTGGCCTAAGGACGGGGCTTGTACAATGTCATGAAGATCGGATGAAATGGGCCAATTTCGGGACCCACCCCTTTGCGTCTGGAACTGAACCAACATTCGTCTTTCGCTGCGATCGACAAGCGCCAACACTGGTTTGCAGCGTTGGTGCTTGAGCGACGTAACAGTGATGAAAGCAGGGGGGATCTGGAGGAGGACGAGGTGCTTGCGGGTGGCAGTGGATCGAGAATTGGCAGATTCCTTCTCGATCTAGCCCCCGATGAGATTTGAGGGCTACAGCTACAGTCGGCAGCCTTGAGAAGATCCACTGGATCCAGCGGGTCTCGGCCAACGGGACAAGACTCCACCAGACGCTAGCACACACTAGCACCCGCAATCCTCTACCCCAGCCACCTCCTCTTGCCTCCACAGGGCCGCACACTTTCGACAAAATTCTTGGCCCTTCTCCTGAATTTGGGCCCCTTTGCTGCGCAGCTCCGTGGTTTCAGCATTTTCAGCACAAGGTCTGGCTCCATACGAACGCTTTTCATGAAGAAGTGCTTGAATTCTGTAGTTCCCAGAATTGGAACCGCCACAGGATAAAATTTAGGACTCCATGCTCGAGGATAAAATCATGCTGGGGAGATTTTCAGAGACTGTTGGCATTCATTCGAGTCGTGCGTCAGAATGTTATCCATTCGATGATTTGTTTGCAGTCGGAATTGAGCACGATCCGTGCGTCCGACGTCCGAGAGTATTTATTACTTCCATGGATCGTGTGCGGGGGAACAGAGACATTCTCCTCGAGCCTACCGGGAGGGGAGTGTGCCCCCAACCTTCGACTACTCTTTGGAGGCAAGACGGGGGCTGGGGTAAGGAGGGGTCATATGGCACAGAGTAGAGAATTCTGGACCGGGGCGAGTCCGCGGACACGCGCAATGGAAACATGTCGCCCTCCGGTCGCCCATCTCCCCCCTGTCGCAGCTCCACGAGACCGGGGGCTGCAGTGGAGTAGTCCCATGGCCTGCAGCTTTGTCACCATGAGCTGATGGGCAAAGGGTGCCTGTGTGGCTAGAGGGCGACAGTGAGCGCCTCACCTGCTTCTCGACATGATTGGCCTCCCATAGGCTCTCACTCATCTGAGCTCCAGCTCCACAGTTACCCCGTTCGCGAGTCCTCGACTGCACAAGGGCACAGGCACAGAACTACACCCCCCAGCCCCAGCCCCAGCCCCACCCCCAACCCCCACCGTCTCTGCTCTTCCATTTCCAGGGCTAGGGAGGGCTCAAGCCTGGAGGTGCGCGCTTTCTCGTACCCCGATGCCTGATCGCTCAGTGGCGTCACGAGCAGCCGAGGGGGCTCTCATTGTGCTAAGCGCACGAACAAGAAAGAGCACCGTGAGTCCCTTCGCGGAGCAGCGGCTGCTGACATCTGCCACTGGACGTAGGATCGGCGCTGCAATTTCCGTAATCTTTAGTCGCCGAGTGCAGGGCAAGGTCGATGCGTGGAAGAACGAAGAGTGGGGCGGCGATCGACGACAGGACAGGGCGGAGGATTCGGGCTGCGAATCCGGGGAGAAGCAGGCAATGTAGAGGTAGAGGGGCTAGCGATGGCGGTCTTGGACGATCCTTCTTCGGTGGTGCCTCTTGAGGAGATCTTCTTGCTCGGCACTCGATCGCCGGAGCCCCATCCTCCACTGCCCCTCCAGTCGGCAGGACCGGGAGCGAAGGCGATGTCGTCAGCGCAGAGGAGGGCCAAGGCGCTTGCGGGGCTGTGGCCGGCGAGGGTCGAGGCGCTTCACAGCCCCCTTGCTCTTGTAGACGTCGAGGAAGGCGCTCGCGGCATCGAGAGGACGAGAGGAGGATCGGGAAGGGGCAGGTAGTAGTCGGGGATCTCGTAGCTCCTCGTCCAGCAGGCGGTGCTTGGAGTGCGGGTCGGAGTCGCTTGCGCGAAACCCCCGTAGCTGATAATCTCGGCTCGAAGCACCCACCGGGTCGATAGGCTCCAGCAGCCCCTTCCTGTCTCCGGCCACCGAGCCCCCAGCTCGAGGTGCGAGTCGGGGTGCTTGCAAGCGCCGCCGCCCTCTGTCTCCACAGCTGCGCCGAGCTTGTCGAGCTCTCGTGCTTCGGGCAAGCTTACCTCATCAGCCTCACACTGCCCCCTCCGTCATAATTCTGCTGCTTGGCCTTCCTCTCAACTCCGTGCTTTCTGACTATCAAACGCTCACGCAAGTCACCGTGCCCTTTGCTCACCGACGAGCAAATCCGAGCACATGCGCTAGGAATGAATTTGATCGAGAGCGGCTGAGCCACCTACGGCTCGATCGATCTTTCAGCACATGCTGGCAATCCGATCCGAGTGCTTGCCTCAGCTTTCTTCAGGTCGGAGTTCACAGAAGCTCGAGGAGAAGGGGAGTCGACGAGAGTCTGAGCTGCATGGCCAACGGTCTCCTGATCTGAATATGGCAAGGTTGCATTGCATGGGCCGCGGGGCTTTTCATGGCTGCGACGTAGCACCGACGCTGGGGGGTTATGTGCATGAGCTTTCGGCCCCTTAGGTGCGTGGTTTCCCTCGTCTCGGGATTCGAGAGATCTCCCATTTTTTGGGTGACAATGTCTGCAATTCTTGGGCCTAAATTTATCCTCGGAACCGTCGTCCTGCCCATATCGACGGACTCGCACGATTTCTCGAACACTTCGAGCTTATGGAATCCTTGGAAGGAGAGTAAATAATGTCCAGAGCACAATTTGATACAGAGCGCAAGCTGATTCGAGAAGGTGTTAGGTTGTGAAGTGAAGTTGAAAAGCATTTTGAAATAATTAGGTCCAATAACCATTAAAGAAGTAGTCTACCCGCGAGATTACAGATTAATCACTTAGACTCCTTGTTTACCGTGATTTTTGGACTTAGTTACTTAAAACTATCATTTCAACTTGTTTTTCAGCTTAATTTCACAACCAACAATATTACACTTGAAGTGCGCAAAGTGATCCGAGAAGTGTTAGGTTGTGAAGTACAGCTTAAAAATCATTTTGAAATAGTTAGGTCCAATAATCATTAAATAAGTAGTCTACCCGCGAGATTACGGCGTAAACATGTAGACTACTTGTTTAAAGTGATTTTGGACTCATTTATTTAAAACTATCATTTCAATTTGATTTTTAGGTTGATTTCACAACCAACAATATTCCTCTTGAAGATACATTGGTAACGGTTGCATCTCCTCTATTTCAAAAAATCTTCTATGAGTAAGAATAAGTTCCCATTTGATTAGTAATTGAACCTAACTAAGATAATGCATAGACTTAGTTTATCCGTGATAATAATATTTCTAAACATGTCTAGAGGATTTAACTCATCTTCTATCTTTCTCAATGACAAGATTCCATAATCTATCAATCATGCATATAATTGGGTTTGTCCACGGTCCGATTAATTGGTTAAGAAAAAAAGATTAAACGTTTATTTAATCGTTTAATCTAATCTTTCAAAACTTTTGGAAAAACCGTGATGCATGCCAAGTTTTATCAAATTTGAGTAACTTGCTTTCTGAATAAGAGGTTTCAGCTTTTCAATTTCATTATCTCGATGTTTTCTTTCGATATTTTTGATAAATTTAGATGAACAAACCCAACACTTTCCAAAAACGCCAATTCAGATGCTACAGAAGAACCTTGAATCATCAATGTGTTCCTAGCCATCATGGATAAGGATTGAGAAGCGATTGCAGTGCTGTTTTCACCACAGTAGTACTTCGGACACGTGACGATCCACTTTGGCCGTGAGCGTGAAGAAGTTGTCGACCTCGTTAGTGTGTGCAGCGTTCTCAATGACACTGTCTACTCTCCAACAAATCAATCCAATACACCGTAAGTTGGAGATGGCAGCTCCTCCAAACACAAGCTGTAATACATGATCAAAATGAATCAAATCAGGTCTTTGAGTTCCATCATTTTAGAGTAGGCATTGCTAGATTGAGGATCAAGAAGCAAAGCAATTTTGACGTCTTGAAGATTCAGATTGGCACTATATTTCAGCAACTTGAGCTCCATGGCAGCAACAATTTTTTTGACGTTTTTTGACGAGTGGTGAATCTAATGTTTAATTATTTAGTAGATTTTTTTGGACAAAATGAGTATCGGCTAGCCGTTCCCAAGAAAAATTAAAATTGGTTAAATTGGACCGACGGTTAATTAATTAACCGCCAGTCCGGACCGAATTGTGGCCAAGTCCATATATAATGTTCATTCAATCGATATGTTTGATTGTAAAATGAAAAACCAAGATCATTGAAACATATAAAGCACTTTGATTGTTGGTGTGAGGTAGTCTACAAACTTTATACTTTTCATTTTACTTCCAAAAATTGAATAGTCAAACCATTTTTTTTCGGCCTTTGGAATTACAGATTTCTTGTAGTGAAAAGCGCCACACATTTTGGCCATATCGACATTCAAAATACATGAACATCTTCTCATGTAAAAAAGATAGTTAAAAGTGCTTTGCCGACTATCAAAATCATCATCAAAGTCCACATCAACAATCCATAATGAATTTTTGAAATGGAATGCCATTCTTGAAGTGCATTTCAAGTTTGTTAGCAACCATTTCATCGTCTTCCAATGTGGAATACCGAGATTTGTCATGTAACGGCTCACTACTCTCACTACATGTGCTATGTCAGATCTGGTGCATATTTTGACATACATGAGATTGCCAATTGCGAAAAAATATGTCATAGTCGCCATGTAGTTGTGATATGTAAGATCGATTGTTGTATATGTGAAATAATATTAGAAGCAGTCAAGGAGTTGATCATGGTTAGTTTAGATTTAAATAAATCTAGCTAATTATGATTAAGTCTAGCTAGTTGTAACTAAGTTTAGCTATAGTGTTCATACATGACGGAATGATTAAAGAAGTTCTAAAAAGCTTGAGTGTGCACTATTATTTTGTTTTCTATCAAAGTTTAGATTCCAAGTATGAAATACTTTGACTGCATGATTAACTTCGATTTATTTGACTAGGTAATGAAATTTTTATTCGGTAGACTAGGTTTAACCTTGATTTAGTGGTAGTTTAAAAATTTGAAAGTCCCAAATAGTATGTTGCCATCTCAATCTAAGAATTAATAAACTTATAGAAGGTTTAGGTTTACCAATAAAATGTTATCACATATTGGAAATTAATCAAAGATACCATGATTTATTCTAGTAAATTAAATTAGAAGCTAACTATCATATGTTACTATGCTAATTTCTCAAGTAGAATATATGAAACGATTGAGAATAAAATCTCAAACAAATTTTGAGAGTTTAATGTGTGACTACTTGTTTAGTCAATATGAGTTTGAGTTGCATTATTGTTTGGGGTATCTATGAATGTTTGCAATTGAGTGATGAATGGAGAGTATGTTTGAAACACGGGCACATTGAGTAATTTTAGCTTCTAAAATCATGATGAGCTATCAAAAAGTCATCTAAGGTAAATTTAAGTGAAAGTCAACTTGGAGTTTAGAGATACTTCTTTGTATTTGGTGCTTGAATCTTCAACAATTTGACTTGTACTCCCAGTGATGTGATTCTTGGTTTAGCAACTTGCACTGAAAATCTTTCCAGCACCTTGTTGATGTACTTTTCATGCAACAAAGTTAGGACACATGCCGCTTGATTTCAAAAATGTGCATGCTAAGAATTTGACTTGTTGAACTCAAATTCTTGTGTTTATTGCGGCTTTAACATGTTGATTTTCTTCATGTTTGCACCTACAATGACCATGTTATGAACATAAAAGGCACCAAAATCTTTGAAATGTCAACCATGTTCAATGTTTTATTCTTCGAATTCATGACAGTTCATGATTTTGCCAAACTTTTTGTACCATTGTCTCGGAGCTTGCTTCTTATTATATAAGCTTTTATTTAACTTGCACACAAGGTCTTTATTTTGTTGACTTTCAAAGTACTCATGCTGCATCATGTAAATTTTTCTATTCCAAATCTACTTGAAATATTTTTTTCCCACCTAGAACAACTTGATCTGAAAAAAAAAGATGTTCACATCAAGTTGTTCTAGATGCAAATATTTAGCTCTCACAATATCAATAAGCTTCATCATAGATGAAAAGAAATTGGTGTAGTCAATAATTTTTTTTGCATTAAACCTATGATCATTTGCTCTTCTTGATCTTTGATTGCATTGAATTGCAATCAAAGATTGTCATACAATTCAATGATTCTTTCATTTGCTCTTCTTGATCATTGATTCCATCTTTGGCCTCAACATCATCAAATTTATCATTTGTTTCATGATCTCCTTAGATCGCATAACCTTTGATCATTTTATTGTCGATCATAGCAATTGAAACTTGCAAATCATCCAAATCAATCTTTTTCATTTCATTGAATATGAATAACTTTTTATAAAATTCATTTTTGTTTCAGATAAAATCTCTAGATTTAATTATTTTTTGACTTTTTTCATTCAAATATCTATAACCAAAAAATTAGATCCATACCAGTAGAATTACATTTTTTGATCTTTGCATCCAACTTGTAACTTTTGTTTGAATCCATATTCATATATGCCGTGCATGGAAAATTTTTCAAATGAGTTAGAGTTTACCTTTTATCCAACAAATTTTCTTTGAATAACTCAAATTCTTAGATCATTGATGAACTTTCGTTGATGATATAAGCCTCACTCTTAACAAATGCATTGTGTTGTGATCGGTTGTAGACTGTTTGCCCTAGCTTGACTCCATGATACTCACAATACATCTTGAAGTTGGCTTCATCATACTCCCCACCATTATCTGATCTCAAGCATTCTAGTTTTTGATAGGTATCATTTTTTGATAGTTCTCATTTTTGACCTATGTCTTCCAATTCTTGAAAACTTCAAACACTTCGGATTTTTGTTTGAAAAATATGATATATATCTTGCAAGAAAAAATCTCCAATAAACGTGACAAAATATCTCGAGACTTTTTGAGATTAAACTAAAGTTAGATCTCACTTGTAAATGTGCACAAGTTCTAGCATTGCTTCCTTCTTCTATCACCCGACTTTTGAAAAACTAACTCGTTTCTATTTTTTGAACATGCAATCTTCATAAAAATCCAAATTCAACCGTTTGCATAGCCCTAACAACCCTTTTGATGTTAGAATCTTCAACCCTTGACTCATGAGTTCCAACTTGTTGTGCCACAAGATGAATTGGTTTTAGCCTCCGCAACTGGTACCAAATCTACATTCCTGGCAGTTTGATAAAGTGTAACCGTCTTGGTGACTCGTGCTGCAACTATAGCACCTTTCACTATTTTCCAAGAACCTTGTACAAAGATGGTACTATATACCTCATCATCCAATTGACCCACATATATAAAATTCTTCTTTAACCTGGAAATGTAACGAATATCATGCAATATCATATATACCGTTGCTAGACTCAATATATCATTATTTCTAAAGTTTTATTATCTCCTAGAAATAATTTTCCATATTCTTGACTCGCAAAATTTTTCATCAATTGTTTGCAAGAGGCAGAATGAAAAGAAGTTCATGAATCTAGAATCCAAGATTCGATTGGACGGTCGACACATTAGATTAGAGCATCATCGAAATCTTCCTTGGTTGTTGCAATCACCAAGTTGGATCCGTCTACTCTCTTCTTTGCCTTTTTAGGGTGCTTATAGTCATGCTTTAGTATAACCTTTTTGCCACAATTCAAGCACTCCGAACTCACCTTTGCTGCAAAACTTACTCTATATTTTTGACTTGGATCTATTTTGGTTCTCCTCCCTCTGACTCTACTACCTCTTTGAATAGTTATGGCCTATCCACTTTTCATATTGATTATTTTTACAAATAACTTCGCTAATGATGCGATTACTAACATAGTAGAGTCAACTTCTTTCGACCAGAGATCTCCTCTACGGTAGTTGACCACTTCTCTTGCATAGAGATCAAGAAGCAGTATGCGAGCAACTCACCATCCAAGAGGTATGCAATCTTCTTCAGTTGCTTCACTATATGGCTGTACTCTGCTATATGCTTCATCACATACACACATTCCCTGACATTTGAAGTTGAAGGAGTCTTGATAGGAGATGAATCTTGAAATTGTGGAAACACGAGACCGGTGGTAAATAGAAACCCAAATCCGATGGGCTAGGATCGAAGACACCAACTCGACTTTTTGTATTCTAGTGTCTTCGATGATAAACTCATGGTGTGCTAGTATTTTTCTTGGATAATCCAGCGAATTTGAGGTTTTTTTCCCGGCTATCTCAACTTTACCGTTTGTGTTGTGTTTTCTGTGAGGCTATCACCTCTTTAGAGAAGGTAGTTCCAGCCACTTCTCCACATACGTTCCTCATGCCACTCTAAGAAAACGAGAGACACATGAGGAACAAACCAGAACGGACGAGAATGAACCCTATAAAACTGCAATTTAACACACAATTCCCTCAAACATTCCCGCCATCAAATTCATGGAAGATAATTCACTCGCTTGGTGATGAGGTTATTTTCTTTGTGCTTGTCATCCTTGCGCAGGGGCCATGCTAATCTTCTCTGTATCGTTCCAATTTTATCGGATGTTCCCGAAGGGACATCCGATATATTATGAGCATAACCGGATGTCAGATTCGATCTGCTCCAATCCGCATCAGAGGTATTTCCTGACATGGCTTTTGTGAGTGAGATTCTCCACTGCAATCAGCTACCAGGCGTTATAGAAAGGGGCTTATTTGTTCTCGACATCTCGCGCATAAATCTGACGGAGGGAATGATACCAGAAGGTCTCCTGCCCTGAAGAACCGAATTGCACACTCACAGAAATGACCTCGATCTCGCCCTTCCAAAAAAAGTCTTCCTCCTTTACACGCTATATCGTTACAGAATCTTATGGAACAAAAGCTCGAAGAGAAGTTGCACAATGCGCCTCGGAGGTCAAAAGTATGAAACAGTCAATTGAACTGTACAGGATCCCGCAGATCAGGTCGAATTAAGAAGGGGGAGGCCAAATATTGTGAGCATTGGTCGTGACATTCGAAAACTACTCATTCTCAATCGCTTCCGAACGCAGCGAATCTCTCGAGCCACGGCCAATCGAACCACGTCGCAGAAGCGCCTCAGAATGCCAGTCCAGGCCAGGCACGGATGCTCGGCCACGACTGCGTTCGAGAATTCTCTTGATTTGCTCGTTGGTGTGTGGATAAAAAGCTCCCTCCCGTCATCCTCCCGAAACTCGGAGCCCGCATTCGCCACCGTGTTTTACCCTGATGCTCGCTCGTGTCGTGCCCTCTTCGTGGAGGGCGCGAGATCGGCAACTGGTCGCTTTTCGGACACCACGCGTGCACTCGCTACCAGCAATCAATGGGTCCGTCTCCTGCTGATGCCACCCGATGTGCCCTGTCTTGTTCCTCTGCGACAGCTCGGCCATATCCTTCCCAATTTTGGAGCAACGTCTGAAAGCGAGGCTTAGGCTGGGTATTCCATAGCTCCCCCGAAGTTCTGCTTCACGGCGACAATTGACAGAGAGACTTCCAATCGTTTGCCTTCTTAAACTTTCTCGTTTAGTCCCAACTCACAGAATTGGATGTGCTGAATCACCTCGACATTGTACTTTACCGGACCGTGAATGGTGACTAGCCTTGGAAGAAACCATTTCCGCACAGCTCGAGTAATTAGTTTATGGTAACGGTCTTGTTTGCAGTCCATCAAATTTGATAGTTTATTTCGTCAAGCTCAAGAGTAGCCCTATATGGGCTACGTGGACCGCGACGACATAGACAGTGGTCACTTCGGAAGTTGGGTCTATCGTAAACCGAGCAACAGAACGCATACTCTGCCTGATCTAGTCATACGTGCATATGGTTCTTACGCCCAATGTCTTGAACTTTCTCGGTTTAGAATGTCTTTCCACGCGTCAAACTGCAATCGTCCATCGAGGTCACATTTTAACACGGCTGTCTGAACATGTGCTCTGCGGAAGTGAAACAAGTCTTTCCAATCTCCAATGATGCTGACATTTATCTCCCCACAACAGCTCATAGACAGCACCTGGAGCAGAAGACACAGTAAGGACAGCTTGTGTCGTGGTAGTTCAATGTGAACCCAGTGAGCTTGGAGCAGCTGGAGCTGCACATGGCCTTCATTCCAGTGATCCACAAGTCCTCAGCTTCCATGTCAGGACTCTATTTGCGAAATTTAACCTGCATCTTGAACTCCGAGCTGTAGTCCAGTGTCTCTGTCTAGCGTCACAGAATCAGAACACAATGTTTTTGGTCCAGGTGCAGAGTTGGAGATATCTCTGGAGTTCTCGCCACCTTACGCTGTGGGTGTGCTCATCACCAGCTTGGAGGCAGACGGTGAATTCAATCACGGAGCGAAGCATTTGGAGAAATAGCGATGGGAAATAACGATGGCTGCCTCACTCGTAGGCAGCAGCAGCAGCAGCGGTGCGGCGTTCTGAATTGAATTGAAACTGAATTGAAAGAGGCCGTGGAAGTGCCAGCACAGAAGGCAGAGGAGGAAGAAGAGAATCCAGCCGAGGAGCTCACGGAGCTCCAGCCCCTTCGTGTCCGCTCCCCGATTTCTCCACGAGCGGGACGCATGTTGCTCTGTTGAATCCTCTCGGATTGCTCCCGGAGTCCATACGGGATGCGAACGAATTTCGCAGGCATTTGCTGCTTTACGTTCCAGGGATGGATTGCTCTGGGCAGGGAATTAAATCCCAATTGAGTCCACTCTTCGAAGCAGGATTCGTTCGCTTAACATAGCCTCTATGTTCTCACTTATGTTTTGAGGAGGTCGAATTTGGTTGAATTCCTGCAGACATTATTCATCTCGGGTCCCGTGGCCAAGTAAGGATAGATTGCTCTCAGCTGTTGGGACGAGGTGTGAAGATTTTCAATACGACCTTCATTTCAGTGACTCCAGACAGCTTCCAACTTTTTTGTGGCTTGTTGTAAATTAAAGAATTTTTATTTCTGTAAATGCATGCGCGAACATGCCAGGTTATGGAGTTAGTTCAGGTTGTTCTTCTCGGACGAGCTTAGGAGATAAATGTTGCCTGCCAGCTAATTTCGTGAAATATAGTTCACCTCAACCTGCAATTTGAGGTTTGATACGTACTTGTAAAGGTGGGGGATCTGAGGTTAGTGCTTGTGAGAACCTCGGGCCGTCTAGTCTAAAAATCGGATTAGCCAGCACGATGTTGGAAAATTTGCATCACCCAAATGTTTGACAAATGTTGGTCACTTTGTATGTCGCGAAGGTAAATAGCATAGCTCTAAACAAGGACTATGATGCAACTTTACCAGCTAGTTTCCTTTGACCTACTTAATTCAAAAGTATGCTAATAAACGGAGACAGAGACCCCTGCTACATAAACATGCTAACATCTCTGACAAGATGGTTGATAATTGGAAGAACATGAGATTTATCTTGAAGTACTTTATCTCGCTTGTAGCAAGAAAGAAGATTATTACCGCAGAATGTGACGTATCCATGTGTAATATTGGTACTGGAGACTTCCTGTATGGACGTACTGCGAAGAGATAACCTCATGAACAAACACCTTGAAGGTGAGTTGCTAAATAATCTTCTTGTGCAGATATGACATTAGATGTGTATATATACCAAGTAATGATAGGTCAACATGGCAACAACTAGTGGACACAATTCTTCCCTGGGAGAAAGTGTCTTGACGGCAGAGTCTAACACAATCAGGCCCCCCACTCCTCTTCTTTTTGGACACACATTTGGAGACTACCCTGCATTGCATATTTCAACCCAGAAGCTTCATTATTAGTTCACTGCAACAGGAGGAATGTTTACGTTAGAAACCGGTATATACCCTTTCGTCGTTTATCAGTCTGAAAACAGGAAGTGCCAACCACGTTGTCACGATGAAATGACAACGTGGTTGTTTCATTCTGTTCATGGAGATTGGTGCGACTGAGTACCACCATTCTCCAAGAAGATCAACGCTTATGAAGTTGCTTCCCAAGCAATCATGAAGAAGCCTCTCCTCTACGGGTGAGTATTATCAAGCTGCTGGGATACGGGAATAGTGAAAATCAAGCAGAATCGCAAGGATTAGCACAAGTATGATATTGTGGGTGATTAATTAAAATGCTATGAAACACGTAACATCTCCAAACTGTGTTCCACCAGCAACTCTACATCTCTGCAATAAGTGACGGCAGTCTTGATGTTTGTTCTTCTGGAATGCAGCGTCAGAGTCTGAGGAAACATTATTCACCATGTGGGAATAATGACAGCGCTATGACGCTGCTGAGTTCGATAGAATTTAATGTCGAAACATGTGTCGTTGTGACATGGAGGAAATAGTTTTACGTACAGCTCCCTCAAAATTCCAGTGACACTATTCAGTGTACGAATAACTGTACCACCTTGCGTCACATGGTGCTCAGAGATACCGGCAATGAAAAAAAATCCAGGAACGAGTCTCGATTATTTTCACACATTCTTGTTTTGACTTTCTCGGAGTCCAAGAGGATCGGATATTGTTAAATTTGCAAACTTAAAATGAATGAACCTGAATACAGAAAAAGCAGATGACAGAATATTCACCAGTTCAAACCTCACCACATCATCAATCTTGCCACCAGAAACAGGTCTGCTGCCCTTTCTGCAAGTCGGCACCGCCTAACCAGGCACGACGATTAGAATTGCCTAGAATTGTCTAGCTTCAGCGAGCGAAATGTCTCAAATTGTGTACTAAGGAAGACTTTCCCGTACCTGATCTCAGCGTGCGCACATGTAAGAACTTGTGTACCTCAACTACTGCAAACTTTAGATCAATTCTTTTGTAATTAACTCCCTTGCGCATAGAATTTACCCTGCTATTGAATGACATATTCTGTCATTCTTGACAGCAGTTCAAGAAAAAGTAGATAAATTGTAATCATTGTTTCACAAATTGTACCGAGCACCCAGTTCAGACGAAAATCAGCAGAGACGACAGATTGGGCGCAACAAATGTAGCTAGCTGCAGTCACATATCTGAGAAGTCATTCGGATTCTTACTTCTTGACTTCTTTCTCACAAACTCTGCACCATACTCAACGTAAAACTGCAATGTCTTTCCAATCACAGGCAAAACAATATGACCCAGGAGGTCTGCGCCGCTGGTTTCGTCTCTTCCAGAGCCTGCCCCTTGAATTCATGTCGAGTTTTGCGAATGCGAGGTGAGGAAAGAACACAACTTGAACACTGCATGTGGTCGGACCATGCAGATATCCGAGATTTAGTTTAACTTCACGTAAACTACAATTGTAGATAGAAAAGCACCGTATGCTAAAATGCTAAATTGGCTCATTACAAGTAATCAAGTAATCGGCGTACATATTTGTTTCGTTCGTGAAACTCCTCTAGAACACTTTTCTGGATGGCTGGGTTGCACTCATCATGGGATTATGCACAGCTTAATGCAGAAATTCTTCAATGAAACCTTGGACGTTAAGCGAAGAATTAATAGAGATATTCCATGAGTAATTAATTTACTGTTAGTTTTTTGGTTGCATCTTTCCATGACGATTTTGTCTCTCGTCTTTATGGTATGTCCCTCACAACTCTCAGTGAAGAGCCGAGGGAAGCCAAAGCTCGGAATTTCGCATTGGTGCGCAACAGCTCCTTTTGATCGTTAATCAACTAGCCAATGACATGTGTGTAATCGCGGATCTTGAGAGACAGCAGTAATAGACTTGTGTCCCTGCTGCAGTTATTCCACATTAAAACGTAAAATCAACACAACCCAGCCAGAGCATCTGCCAGTCTGAAAATGCTTTGAATAGAAAGTAGCAGAAGTGATGCTTTTACGTGAAAGCGGGTGAAAGCAATCTAGTCTTCGGTTTTCAAAATTGCACTGGAGTTTAAAAAATGCCACCAACTCTTAAAAAAACATAACATAACCTTCATTCCTGTCCATTCTACAATTGTTGGAACCTCATCATTCAGTATATGTATTGGAATTCAAGGCGTACCATCCCACTTGTAAGTGTAGGGATTTCATCATGGTAAGACTTGCAACAAGGCATACTTAAAAGTTTGTACTCGAGGTGAAATTTTGATAGTTTAGCTAAAATCTGATCTTCTTCATAGCCATAACTGCACGATTGACATGATTGCACATATTATAAAAGACTTGTACAAGTGAAAACTCCAAGGAAGATTTTGCAAAGGTTCATATTGCATGAGTGTCTAAACATTTGCTTGTCATCAGAATGTCATGATGCATCATGACATTCTAAGGTCTTAAATTTCCTATCAAAATGCCCGTTCTAATACCTTTATTCATGCACTCCTCGCACACCCATGCATGCCCACCTAATTCTAGTCTCACGTTTTTCACCTGATACAACTTGAAGAGTTTCGAATAGTTGTTTCGAAGCTGGGGCTCAAGAATTTGCTGAATACTCAACCATGCTTCTTTGAGCTCCATGCTTTCCCCACCTTTTAAAACTGCAGTACGATCACTATCGCTAATGCCATCTAGTTTAACAATATCAGATTTTAATTCTGCCAAATCCGGAATCGCTTGGCCCAACCCGAGTGTCACATCTAGTCCAGCCTTCAAAGCATAATGCATGATTTTGAGTGAGATTTCAACGGTTTTGCTAATCCACTCGCGATTATCCAGATTCACGCGTATTTTCAAACCTTCTTGATCTTTGACCATGTGAAACCCAGTTTCCGACTCACACATCAAGTGTAACTGAAATGTTTTCGCAAAATGCAGAATCGCACTCATCCTATAGAAAAATCCAACATCATCTGTTAGATATGGTCGTTTGAGGGTTCTGGCCTACTGAAGCGATTGAGGATACTCAATGATCCTGTCCACTTTATACATGAAGACGTTCAACGTTGAGTGCACTTCTTGTTGCAAAAAGAGTATATGTTCAACCTTGCTATACTCCAATTTCAACGTCTCGTCTAAACCATCAACCTTTCGTACTAGCAGATCAATTTTGTTATCAAGTCGGGTATAACAATGTTGTACACTTGTGCTCGTCTGACTTAAGCACCTGGATGAAGGTCGATTGGATTTTTTCATATCAGGATAACTCAAAGTGCTAATCATGTTCTCATTTTCAGGGTGAGAATGAATCAAATCATTGTTCACCTCAATTAGACCTTGATGCAATGACTCCAATTGTTGCATTCGCTTTTGTCGGATCTCATTCACAACCACATTCACAACCGCTTTCACCTCGCTCTCCGACAACAAATCCCTAGCTCTTTCAAAAATTACCCGTGTGTGCATGTAACCATCTTTAATTAGTTAGAACTAAAGTAGAGGTTACTCTAAATATTGATGTAGATACTTTAGTGTGCACTAGTCATAGCTGCCACATCAGCGATCCGCACACTTGGTAGGTACACAGTGGATGTGTTAGTTGACAGTGCCACGTCAACAATCCGTGTGCTTGTAGGTAAGGATTGAGTGTGTTAGTTAGTGTGTTAGTTGGATGCGCCACGTCAGCGATCCGTGTGCTTGTTAGGGTTATCCGCCACTTCATCCATCCATTAGGAGTGAGATGGATGGTGGGGATTAGATCTTATCTCCTTGTTTTTGTTGGTGAGAGCTATATAAGGGAGAGGAGAACCATTGTTGGTATCTCTCATCTTCAAAGTTTACATTTCTATCTTCGAGTGAGCTTCTCTCTAAACCCGTATCAGAGCAACCTTGCTCTTTCCTTGAGTGTGGATTATCCCTCATGGAATAGCAAGTGAGTGATGATGGAGTGCAGTCTTGAGAGTGTATAGAGGCTGGCAGAGGTCATTCATCTGCATGTAGAGAGAGGTGGAAGGGGGAAATTGTGGTTTTGCAGATATGGACGGGATTGATAGGAATCCAGTATCGCACAGTCCAATTCCTAACCTATTCGATATTCAACTTGGTTGCATGGAGAAACATCATTTTCAGATGTACCTTGTGGCTTGTTGGGGTGCAGATTTTATGACTAGAGTGATGAAGTCAAGAGTGCCACTAATTCTTCCAATAGTTACTTATGGAGAGACTTGGGATTGTACTATATACATTCTATACTGAATGTTTCATGGATTTGAATCGCGAACCACCTGTCCCGGTTCGATTCAGCACTTATGTAGAGATTAGAACAATATATAGACAGAAGAGTATATGGAGAGATTTTCTTGTGAGGAATTATGGAGAGTAGTACTATAGAGCTGTGATAGAATCACTTGCACCTTTTGTGACTCCTTTGTTGAGAGGTCACATAGTGATTATACTCACTTTGTATTAGAGGGAGTGTGAGAAAGCATGAGGACATCAATTGATATGGGTGAGGTTCTCAATGCAATCATGGCGGAGATGAAGGAGTTGAGAAAAG